ACATTTATGTACCAACGTTTGAGAAGGCCACAAAAACCGAACTCCTGCCCGAGACAAAAAGCGAGCGCACGGCGAACAGTGGTCGGGCGCGCGGCGGCGGCCACTTTGCCGCCGATGCCGGCCGTGAAATGGAGCCCCCTAACGGAAAGCGCCGCCCAGCGCAGCGCAGTGTGGCGCGGCGTGGCGCGCCAGCCGCAGGCCGCGTGGCCCACAAACGCCGCCGCCGCCGCCGCCGCCACCTCCGCTAGCGACGACCCCTCCGCCGCCGCTGCACCCGCCGCGCCGCGCCGCCCGGCGACCTGCTTCTGCGTCGAGCCGCAATTCGCGAACGGGCAACCTACCCGAGGAAAACGCTTGCTTTGCGGAACGGAAAGTAGAAAATTGAAGACTTCTCGGCTTCCCCGCATCCCCCCCCCCCGCGAATACCGTAAACGGGTAAACAGCAGAGCGACTGCAAGTGCCTTTCTGGGGCGTAACGCTAGGTACCGGCTGGATAGACAAATGTTGACATAGATTTTTGGACGTATAATAAAGGTCAAACGAAGTATTTTTTTTAAGTTACGTGATTCACATTATTAAATTACCCGGGATTCGGGTAGAACTTGAGTTTCGTACGGATTGCGCGTTCTCAGGATACCGGATGTAAGTTCTTCGCTCCCCATTGACAATGAAAGAGGATTCTTCAAGTGAACTGAATGCGATAGGCTGTAACACCAGGATCTGTGAAAACCCCCTACGTATCCTTCACATTCTAATAAATCTCTTTTATGGATATTTGAAGGCTATTAAGTGGACTGAATCTTTGTAACACACGATGCTAAAATTTCAAATTTATCAGTAGATATGCAACTAACGATGCTCTTCAAACATTAGAAGACAAGTTTCATGAATATTCATCAGCGCTGCAATCTTGGCAAACAGCTAGCGAAGCTAATAGCTCTCAAGCCCCATGCGAATGCGGCATTTCGTATTCAAGAAATACTTTTATATGAGGACATGAGAAACGTGTAAATGAGAATGTACAACAGTACAGGGAGAAGGACAAAGAAAAAGTAAATCCCAGTAATGAGCATATCGTCAAATGCCGATTCCCATATTAAGCTCGTACGAAATATCAACAACTTTTCATTGGAAAGCATTGGATATTATAGCAAATGCTTGTCTGGAACTCTTAGTTGTACCGAGAGTTGTCCGTTGGTGTCTTGGAAGACAAACTTAAATCAAAAATAGCCAAATAACAGTTAAAAATAATCGCACACGTATTTCAAATTGGAAAAAAGTACGAATTTAGGTATGTTATTTACAATATTTCATTGCAGATACTTAGAAACATTTTATAATTTTGCATAATGGAAATGATACAGAATATCGTATATCCACTGAAAAATTAACAACCGGACGGTGTGTTAAAGAAAATTAATATTTTCAAAAATACTACAAAAAGGAAAAAGTATAATGTAAAGTTAACGTATTTTACATACGTATCAATCAACAAGCAGCTTTCGAGGACTTAGCTATTAGTATCATATCTGACGTGTGAATAAATCATTATCAGATAATTGTCTGAACTGTCAATATCTGCTTATCGATTAAATTTCAGACATCAGTACTTTTAAGTGAGTATTTTCCTTTTGTATAACCGTTTCTCTACATATTCGTCTCATATATACTACTAGTTAGGACAATAAATAAAAATGTTGTTGCACACTTCAACGTAAGTTATATACACAATGCGTCACCACCAGTCCAAGGAAACTGAAATACAGACGAAAGCAAGACGAAGCGCAAGAACAATAACCACATCAATCATTAAACTACCGCGGCCGCTTGGAGATTCGCAGCCGGTACGCGCCCCTTCACAGATGGCCATGAAGCGGTAGATGCAACGAATGTGCAGTTACTGCAATCTTCAGTTCGTTTCGAAAGAGTTATGACAAGGAAATGAGCATACCACAAAAAGAAGATAGCTAAAATATTAGTGAGAATTACGTATTGTTCAGTTGTATAAAATGTTACGACAAACTTTCTTTTGCAAATGCCAACAATCCACTGAACACAACAATATTTTTACAACACATTCAGCTAAGAATACTGAAATCTCATTGGAGTTAACACTTCGCAACAGTTTTAATGTAAGATTATCAATGTTATTATTTAATGAAAAACTTCTTAAACAGTAGTTTTTGATTAAATAGTATATTTTTATCAACACCACCGCGCTAATGTCTTCTTTGTTTACTTTGGCGGTTAATTTTATAGGTTTTGTTACAAAAGGTTTTATAGAAATATGTTAAAATACGTATTTTATAACAGGCAAAAGAAGAGGATTGTTTAAATTGCACAAACTGGCATTACACCCTCTAACTTCTTAATATCACTCTTATTGATTTTAAGAAAATATGGTCTGTACACCCCCTGCTAAAAGCGGGTTAGTTTGATTGGTTCCAACTTTACGAGAACAGGATGGCCCTCTGGAAGTTCACGGTGAAAAACACAACCCTCCTTCCTCCGTGCAGGACGATAAAAAGAAAGCTCCGTGCCACACGCACCCGACGCGATCACCGCCCAAATAGAAAATCACTGCCGACGCACGGAGACCACGGGAGAGCGGCTCGAATCGGTCCCGCGTCCGCCTCCGCTCGCGCCCGCGCCCCCGCATCGCCGGCGGACCCCACACCAAGTGAGCGGACGTAGTCAAGCGCGGCGCGGGCCGCGCGCGGCGCGTTGCCGCGGCGACACTCGCAGATAATCGGGAAGATACCCGCCTTGGAAGGACGTTCCCAGCCCTCGGTGGCCCGGTGCGGGCGGGCGGGGCACGTGGCGCGTGGCGGCGGGCGGTGGGCCAGACGGTGCGGGGCGGGTCGGGCGATGCGGGCCGCACCGGCCGGCGGTAGGTGGGTGGCCGGTGGCGTGGCGGCGATTCCGGTGCGCGTGCCGGCGGGGCGGGAGGCGGCGTTCGGCGGACGCTGCCAAGAACGCCGCCCCGCCGGCAGACCGGCCCGCAGACACTACCCCTCCCCATCGCCAACTGAGCTACATTGCACAGACTCCCGAACCCCCAAAAATGGAAGTCTCCCGATAATAAGCATACCGTCTCCAAAATCTTAAGCCTACCATAACCAATAGACATAGTTACATTATAAGTATTACTCAAGTTAGTTAATAATAAAACCATCAGATTGTAGTTATCGGAATCTTAACTGCCAAGGGATATTTCAAATCTTTCCGATTACTAAATGAATATCTGAGGAACACACACATGTGAATCGCTCGCGAGCTCATAAATGTGATGAACTTTGACGTCTCTTCGCGTGTTGTATCTTTTGCGTCTTTTCGTGCCAAAAGACCCCAATCCAAACATACAGTACCCTTTACGACTGGTAACCCTGACGAAGACGAGATATTGCAATAAATTTGAAATCCATACACAAATGTTGAGGAAATTCAAATATTAATGAAATTGTAGGAATAATACAATTCAGAAAATTGCAAGAACCGTAAAATTTGTTCTTGACATGAGAACAACAATGAACAATTTCTTAACAGCTTGCCGACGTGTCCGTGTTAACCAGGAATTACCAGGAAATCGAACCCAGTACCTCAGGGTTAAGATATGCAGATCACAGGCTAGACATGCTAGCCTTTACACTACTCATATGGTCAGAACGACCAAAAAAATCCTATTACAACACTAAGTCATTAGAAAGAAAAAGTATGCAAATTGATACGCTGTCTTGTGTGTTACTGTCTGTATTACCCCACCTTACACAAACGCCACTGCTTCCTGACTTTCTGAAATGAAACATTTGTATATGTTTATTTTTTGTAAGCTAATCTATGAAAAAACATGGGGTTCAGTGATTATGAGGAATGTGAGAATTCATAAAGAAAACAATCATTTTTGTACATATCGAGATAAATTTTTGAAAATTAAAGATAACAAGATGCAGAACAAAATTATTTCACAGACGATTTAGTGCAACATTCAACAGCATATTTCTGAATAATTTGCAACACTTTGATTAGAACTCTCGACCTGGAGCGGATGTATTCTACAAGTCATGTCTTACGTCCTTTGTTCTTATTGTTTCGCGAAGTATGAACACATAATTCCTTAATTATGATTTTTCTGGCTCACTTCACTTCAAACTAACTGAATACAATAATAAAGCTTGGAGAGTACGGAAAAGGTTCGTGCAAATAATTTTGAAAATAATGCTAACTACATTTTCTCAGATTTCGCTTTTACGTTATAAACACATTCCATCAGATTACCCGGTAGGCTTGAAGCCCACGCAGTTGAATGACACGGATCCATGTCTCGCAATTGCAAAGTTAGCGTGCATTCATACACTCAAGAGAGGCCGTTTCAGTCCGCTGCCGTTGTCACGCATCGCTAGCAGCGGAGTCGGGAGTCAGTGACTGCGCGAGAACGACTCATTGCAGTGATCTCAGAAATGACCTGAAGTCACCAAACACTTTGACTTGTCTCACTACATAGAAATGCAAGAGATATATACAAGAGCAGAAGAAAAAAACGTTAGAACAAAGTGCCACCTACTGCTCCGAAAAGCATAGCTACACAGTTTACGGTGATGAGCTAGAACAATGGCAGGATAACTGCACTTGATGGGCAAGATGAACTACACAACAGTATTGGATGTTGCCAATTTGGTACCTCCCTGGGTTGCGAGTCTGCAGTCCAAACTTCGTGGAACAGAGGACCGACTAGGTTCCAGTCCCGACAGTGATGGATTTTCTACGGGAGCTGAACTGCTGAGTCGGATAACGCCTAGATTCGATTTTAAAATCCGCCTGCTACGAACGTCGTACCCGTAGTTTCTTTCGATCAATTGCAGGGTTCCAGTGTACCATAGCAGTGACACAACTGGCGAGGCCGGTGGCAATTCTTCCTTCTACTGATTACACTCATTTTCTTAAGGCTGGACGATGAGCTGATCTCTCTTCCTTTATGATCTCAAAAGAGTGCGAACACACTTATGTCAGGCTCAAGCTCGCCTGCCGTATCATCAGGTGAGAGAGGAAGACAGACAGAGAGAGAAAAAAACAGAGGTAAGCGAGGCAGACAGGGAGAGGGCATGTGTTGCCTCAGTATTTGCAACTTCACGTCCATGGCCAGCGGCCAGTTCGAGAGGTTTCGCAAGGCCACCGCCCACCCACC